TAAATTTATGTGAAATGCCAAAATTATATGTATTTATTTTCATTGATGTAAAATAGTATACTTTATCCATATTTTCTTTGAGTTATCTTAATAATAATGTGCATTTTACATCTTCGGAATTGCAGTAATTAGAATTTATATAATGTAATTTGTTTGTATAGTTTTTTTATATTGTCATTATTTATGTAATCTCACATGATTTAAATTATAAATTTGAATATGGTATTTTGGTTTTTTCTTATTATTGATAAAAAAAATTTAAAGTTTTCTATTTAAATATAAACATTGTTATTATGAATATAGTAATAGTAATTTTTAATAGCTTCCTTTTTGAATCCTTATACTTAAATACATTTGGTTTGAAAGGATAAATAATTTTATTATATTAAAGAGTTAAATGTGTGGTTTCTTTATTTATTTGAAAATGTACTGAGGAATTTTCCAGTACTTAAAGCAGTTTCTAAATGCAATTTATAAAACATTTCTTATAAATTTGTTGTTATAAATATGGTAAATTACAAAATAAAAAAGAAAAAAAAATGTTGTATATTCTGAAGAATACACTTTGCATTAATGCATTGAAAGCTGTAATAATAGAATGAATAAAGTTCATTCATTACATGTGTATCAAATTATTAAACTTTTATACAATTAGCAAACCTTTAAATTACTGATATTTACTATGCTTAAGTGAGAGTGCTTCAGAATGTAGATAGATTGCAGAGAGGAAAAAACATTTAAGCATTATGAAAACTAATGGTTTATTAAAAATACATTTGATTATAGGAAAAAATTTTTTATCTGTTAAAACAATTTTAGAATACATTGTCTAATACAGTATCTAAATTGAAAAGATGTTTTAATATATTTGTTGCAGTGAAGAAAAGGTTCACTTAATGCCCATAGGATGGAGCAAGTAAAGAAATTGCTCTCTGAGTGGCAGATCTCTCATTTTTTGATTCTGTCCTGTGGGCATTAACAGGAACTTTCTACAGGCAACCTCCACAATGTGGCAATCATTATTGAAGGATGGGCTCTGTGGAACAGACCACTCCCTGTGAAAACTCCAGGGAATGCTCATCTGGATTCAATCCTGGGTCTCCCAGAGATGTAGGTTAAGCCTTAACCCTAGGCAGGAGTGAGCAACATTTGTAATTGTGTGTGCCAAAATTGCTAAATCTATGATACAAAAATATTCTGTTGTGCCAAGAAGTGGTCCCTATATTACATCACTTAACTCCAGGAGGAGAGGACTAAATGTTGATAATGGTTGATGATGGGGGTGGTTGCGTGAAGATGGTGTCATCACTACCACACCTTTCTATTTTAGTAGCTGTCTTACATTTGAAGATTTAACAAAAGAACTGCAAAATATTTGGTTTGACATAAAAAGGAGCACATTTCTCAGCTGAACGAAAGTGCCATTTAATTACCATGCCAGTCTGCTTGAAGCATACAGAAAACATGCACAAAACTGACTCGATCATTTCTTTTGTAAAGCCAAAATAACAAAACTGGAAGAATTGGCAATTTTTTTTTTTTTTGGTTCTCTTAATGTTGAGTTTTTGTCAAAGGATGACAAGTGAGATGTAAATAGGATTAACAACTTCCTTATGAGGCACATTGTCCATCTATTTAGTCAGCACTTAGAAAGAGGACTTGCAGGTGCTATTAATTAATACATTAAATTATTATTACATAACTATAAAATAAAGATGTATAAAAAACATTTTTAATCATAGGCTTCCTGAAAACAAAATGCTCATATTGAAGTGTAAAATTTACCATGCTTCAGCAAGAAATCTGAGCATTCCAAAATCAGTAGTGCCTGATCACTTGCAGCAAAGCAACCAGCATACTCTAATGGTGCGACTATGCAGANTTTATGCTTACCATGTGTAAGATTTGTTAAAAGTTCTTTGAGTAGATTTTATTTATACTCATCCTATTATTGTGAATTAAAGAGATATATATTTTGCCAAGGAAACAATAATATTATATATGTTTTCATTAGAATGAGAGAGATTATATTTTTAAAAATCAATTTTAATAATTTCTTAAATGTTTACTTGAGAATTTTATTAAAACTACATTTTTAAGTATACAAAACATAACTCTTATTGTGTAAATTACATTTTATGTTAAAGAAAGAAACCATGACCTAGATAGACAAAATGTTTTATTTGGCAAGAACTTAATGTTTCTGGGCTTGGTTCTTATCCAGATTCAAATTTGTTTTTTCTGTTTGAATCTTAATTTTTTTCTTTGAATGTATTTTAATTTTATTTTCATATTTAACTGTTTAAAAACACATCATAAACTCAAATCATAATAGTAACGATAATTTTAAAATGAATACCATAGTTACAATAGTTAAAAATTACTTTGTTATCAACAAAAAAAGCAAAGTGAAACTAGTGAAAATAAAAATTAACATTTTCAAATTAATGCTGATTGAAATAATAATTGTATTTTTATCAAATTTTTCACAAATTTCTATAAATTATTTAAATTATTTTACTGTAACAAATTATAATAAGTAATTTATTATAAATAAGTAAAATAAAGTAATATAGTAATTCGCATATGTTATTTTAAAAATACTATAATACATATTTATGCTTTCTTAAAATATGTTTTACCAGCACAATTTGATATGAAGAAGAAATTACATAAAAGAACCAATTAGTAAATCTAGGAAAAAACATGTATTTAAATGTTATATGAAATGTAGAAAAAATGATTATACAGAATATAATCAGAATATGTTTTTGTTGTTATATATATGCACATATAACAACAAAAACAGCCTGACTAATTAGCTAGCTAGCTAAGAATAAGATATACTCATAGTTATCTATTGTACATTAATTGTCTGTCACATACTTTTAACCTGCTCTCAGTACAACAAAACCACAGAATACTATCTAAAGTAATAAACTTTTCCAGTTGAAGATAGTGTTGCAAATGCTACCAGATGACAATGACCAAATCCAACAGGTCATCTATCTACAAAGCAAAAAACCTATACTCAATACCATAAATAGTTAAAGATTAACATAATACAGTAGAGCGTCCTTTATCCGAAGGTCGGTTATCCGAAATGTCGGTTATCCGAAGGAATTTAAATTTAAATTTTCGCCAGTGCTGTGGCGCTGTAATCTTTGGCTATGTCTTCGGCTACTCAAATATTTTACGTTTTTGATACTAAATTAACTTCTGAAGTATAATTTTTTATTGTTTTTATATTTTTCAATATATTTATTTTGTTTGTACAAAATAAAAAAATAATTTTTAACGATACAATAGTCTTCGTTAGGCTTAACATCGACGAAAATTCAACGCGAAGCGACACGCAACGGAGAAAATTTTCAACACAGGATAAATTAATATATTTTTTCATACATAATTGGTTATCCGAAAAATAAGTTATCTGAACAACCCCAGTCCCCAATTGATTCGGATAAACGACGCTCTACTGTACTTCTGTCATGCATTGGTAGTCTTTGGTCTAAGAAGGCTCTTGTACCAAAAAACCACAAATAACAGTAATAACTAAGCTTGAATTTTAATTTACCGATTTAAATGCTGAGTTTTCACTTTATAAATAGACTAGAAATTAATTAACAAAACAAAATAATTTGTGTTAAGGTAGGCAGTTAGATTGCCATCTTGTTACAAGTTTAAGAATTGTGTTAATTTAGAATTTAATTTAATAATTTAGGATATTCTAGAAGAAAAAAATTAATCTGGAGTGAGACTTGAGCTTAAAAATTATTTTGTTTCATTAATTACAAACTATTCTATAGTCTGAAAATATAACATTTAAATATTTGATTATAGAACAGAACAATAGAAAAAAAATGCCCATCATTTAATTGTTTTAATGGATTGGAATGCTTTTTTTTTGTACCTAGCATATAGCTTCTCTTAGATATTATATTGTGGAAAAATAAACAAGAAACAACTAGCTTTAATATTATCAAGCTTCTATATTTGTTTCTAATCTGACAACTTTCACATTCTTTGGATAATGTTTTCAATTGGATACCAAGAGACTTTTTTTATTAAATAAGCATTTTGGACAGTTTTAATATTTAATTAATAAAGTAGAACAGCTAAAAAAGTCTCTTGTGTCCAATTGAAAACATTCCACAAAAGGTGTGATAAGTCCTCAGATTAGAAACAAATATAGAAACTTGATAACATTAAATTTCTGCAGAATGACAAGAAGCAAATTTTTAAATGACTAGCAGGATATGGCATAATAAATAATGGCATAATAAATAATTCAACTGGAATTAATACTTTAAATATATAAGTTGCAAGTATTTTATATATTTTAAAACAGTTAAATGTAAATGAGCAACTATTTATTGTGCCATTGTTACAATGCTGGGCTGCAATTTTTAATTTATTTAATTTAAAATATATAATCTCTACCTCAAATTAATACTGAAGTGTCTTGCTCCGTACATCATACTTTTTCTTTAATATAGAGTTATGTCAGTCATCTACTACCGGCTTTCAGGGAAAATGCTTTGAATTGAAATAACATGATTTCCAGTTTGCATTGGAAGTTTGTATATAGTTAATTGGGACATCCTGCCCCTGAGGTTTCTATATTTGGTCTTGGATTTCATCTATCTAATTCCATTCTCAAGATTATGAAAAGATGGATGGATGACAGTGAGAATTTATAGGTCTACAATTTTTTCAAATTGCAGCCCAATTACAGTCTTATTTAAAATAAAACAATTAACATGAAATCATAAATAAAAATATTCAAAATATTAATGAACAGAAAATTAAAGTTTATATTTGATTATTAAAAATAACTAACAAACACATAAAATAAAACAAATGAAACATAGTTACATAATTATAGCTTTGACAGCAGTTTTCAGTAGATTTTTTTCCTACATATTATATTTATTTTAATTGATAAAACTGAATATATTAAATATATATAATTCTATAATATAAATAAATACTTTCAGATACAGAAATTGATTGGAAAGCATACATGCAGGAAGTTGAAGGTGTAATTAATGGAACTTTTGATTATACAAAGTTAAAAGGAGATACAGGTCCTTTAGTGTAAGTTGAAATTATTGATTTGACATTTGCTCTTATTTCAAAAAACAAATTTTGATTATTTTAATTATTATAATTTAGATATCCTGCAGGATTTGTTGCCATATTTACAATATTTTATTACTTCACTGAATATGGAAGAGAAATTTTAACTGCTCAATACCTGTATATGTTTCTTTATTTATTAACAGTGATTATGGTATTCAGAATTTATATTAAAAATAAAAAGGTATGTCATTATAATCATTTATTTCTAATATTCTAAAAATTCTTTATAAAATATTTTTTGACAAAAGATGATAATTTAATAAAATATTTATTATAGATTCCACCGTATGCACTAATTTTTATGTGTTGTACTTCTTATCGCATTCATTCAATCTATGTCCTTAGACTGTTTAATGATCCTATAGCCATGTTGCTGTTATATGCTGCAGTGAATTGTTTTATAGCTAATAAATGGTCTTTAGGTTGCACGTTTTACAGGTAAATTTGATAAAATTTTTTTTAAATTTAGAAATTAAATTCAAAATTTAATTTTCATTTATTGCAATTCTTTAAGTCTGGCTGTATCAGTGAAAATGAATATTCTTCTTTTTGCACCTGGGTTATTAATTTTATTGTTGAGAACAAATGGCGTGCATGGAACAATATGGAATCTTCTTCTATGTGCTTTTATACAGGTAAGATTTAATTTTAAGACATTTCTGCATTATTGATTTGGAATATGAATAACAGAAAAAATTAATTACCAAAAACAAAATTTTTGAACATTAAAGTTTGATAGTAAAAAATTAACAACAATTTGCATAACTTTCCTGACGTAAAACATTACAAGTAAGATATTTTAGCACAAAATTAAAATTGTCTGTGGTGCCATCTGTTATGAGATTTTGTTTAAAAAATAATGTTTATATTATTAATTATAAAATGGCAAAAAGCTTAATTTTCAGGGTAGGGATGAGTTTTATAAAAAATTGTAATTGATAATAACAAATAAAATTTTTATTAAGTCCAACCCCACTTGAGATATGACACATTACTGCCATCTGTCGTCTCATTCCGCTGACCTTTAATCACCAAAATTTAATAGCATCAATGTTTCTTATATATAACTTATCATGCCAAATTTTGTTTCTTAATCTTTACCCCATCTTGAGATATTAAGTGAAATAGATGCAAATACACACACATGTCCATAGAATTTTTTCCTGTTTTTTTTTTTTTTTTTACTTATTTTGGTTCAGGTTGTCTCAAACAAAAAACATGAAAGGCCAAATTTGACACAATTCCAATACTTTCTTGTGTTATATACATAACAAGCTGGGAAAGTAAAAATGTGTTTTTAAATTTTTAAAATTTTGAAAATCTCCATGTTTTGAGAACCCATAGACCCAAAAAGTCAAAAAAGGGAAAAATTCTGTTTGTGTATGTGTATATATATATTGTAATCTATTTCATTTAACATCTCAGGATAGGGTAAAGATTAAGAAATAAAATATGGCATGGTAGCTTGTATATAACAGTCATTGATAATATTAAATTTTGGTGGTTAAAGGTCAAGTGGGTATGGAGATAAAGATGCATCGTGTCATAACTTGAGACTTATTGAAAACTTTACTCATTAGTACCGTTTACAATTTTTCTATAAAGCTCTTCACTACCTTCAAAATGAAACTTTTTGCCATTTTATAAAAATCAGCAACGAGATGCTTAACTTTCCTGGCAACATTTGGTGGTGCCATCTGTTATGATATTTTATTTTTAAAAAATTTTTATATTTTTGACTATTATAAGATGGCAAAAACGTTTAATTTTGAACTTAGGAATGGGTTTTATAAAAAACTGTAAATGATAATAATGAATAAAATTGTTATTAAGTCTGATCCTACTGGAGATACACCCCACCCTTCCCACTCTCTTGATCTTTAATCACCAAAATTTAATAGCATCAATCCCCTAATAAATAAACTTCCCTACAAAATTTCAGAAATTTTTGACAAAAAGCACAGGAGTTATTAAGTTTCAAAGATGAACAAAATCATGCTCCACACATACAGAAAATCCCCAAATGTTTTTGCATTTCTTGATGTTTAAAGGTCTCTTGAGTCTAAAAATTAAAAATCCAGTCATTTTTTGACCAATTGCCATACTTTCCCTATGTTAAATATAACAGCTGGAAAAGTAATAATTAATAATGCAAAAAGATATAACAAAATTTATAACAGATGATGCCATACACAATTTGATTTATTATAATTAATAATATAAGATAATTAATTAGAAGACAGTCTATCCAGAAATGGGAACTGGGAATTTATTATTTCTGAAAATACATAAATTGTAATTCAAGTATAGTAGAGCATCGATTATCTGAATATCGATCAACTGAAATGTCAATTAACTGAAAGCTTTCTAGTTGGCAAATTTAAATTTTTGCTGGTTCACTGCAATCTTTGGCTATGTCTTGGGCTACTCCAATATTATTTTTGTTGGTGTGCATGTTTTAGCTGGAAGCACTGGTGCGACCATGAGAAGGTACTTAAGGACGTGCCAGGATTTGTACGAATTTCAACATGGAATAGGTTAATATATTTTTTTGTACATAATCAGTTAGCCGAAAAATCAATTTTCCGAACAACCCCAGTCCCCAATTGATTTCGATAATCGATGCTCTACTGTATTTCAAAACACAATTTTTATAATACAGCAATAATTATTTATATGTCATTATAATCATTTATTTCTAATATTCTAAAAATTCTTTATAAAATATTTTTTGACAAAAGATGATAATTTAATAAAATATTTATTATAGATTCCACCGTATGCACTAATTTTTATGTGTTGTACTTCTTATCGCATTCATTCAATCTATGTCCTTAGACTGTTTAATGATCCTATAGCCATGTTGCTGTTATATGCTGCAGTGAATTGTTTTATAGCTAATAAATGGTCTTTAGGTTGCACGTTTTACAGGTAAATTTGATAAAATTTTTTTTAAATTTAGAAATTAAATTCAAAATTTAATTTTCATTTATTGCAATTCTTTAAGTCTGGCTGTATCAGTGAAAATGAATATTCTTCTTTTTGCACCTGGGTTATTAATTTTATTGTTGAGAACAAATGGCGTGCATGGAACAATATGGAATCTTCTTCTATGTGCTTTTATACAGGTAAGATTTAATTTTAAGACATTTCTGCATTATTGATTTGGAATATGAATAACAGAAAAAATTAATTACCAAAAACAAAATTTTTGAACATTAAAGTTTGATAGTAAAAAATTAACAACAATTTGCATAACTTTCCTGACGTAAAACATTACAAGTAAGATATTTTAGCACAAAATTAAAATTGTCTGTGGTGCCATCTGTTATGAGATTTTGTTTAAAAAATAATGTTTATATTATTAATTATAAAATGGCAAAAAGCTTAATTTTCAGGGTAGGGATGAGTTTTATAAAAAATTGTAATTGATAATAACAAATAAAATTTTTATTAAGTCCAACCCCACTTGAGATATGACACATTACTGCCATCTGTCGTCTCATTCCGCTGACCTTTAATCACCAAAATTTAATAGCATCAATGTTTCTTATATATAACTTATCATGCCAAATTTTGTTTCTTAATCTTTACCCCATCTTGAGATATTAAGTGAAATAGATGCAAATACACACACATGTCCATAGAATTTTTTCCTGTTTTTTTTTTTTTTTTTACTTATTTTGGTTCAGGTTGTCTCAAACAAAAAACATGAAAGGCCAAATTTGACACAATTCCAATACTTTCTTGTGTTATATACATAACAAGCTGGGAAAGTAAAAATGTGTTTTTAAATTTTTAAAATTTTGAAAATCTCCATGTTTTGAGAACCCATAGACCCAAAAAGTCAAAAAAGGGAAAAATTCTGTTTGTGTATGTGTATATATATATTGTAATCTATTTCATTTAACATCTCAGGATAGGGTAAAGATTAAGAAATAAAATATGGCATGGTAGCTTGTATATAACAGTCATTGATAATATTAAATTTTGGTGGTTAAAGGTCAAGTGGGTATGGAGATAAAGATGCATCGTGTCATAACTTGAGACTTATTGAAAACTTTACTCATTAGTACCGTTTACAATTTTTCTATAAAGCTCTTCACTACCTTCAAAATGAAACTTTTTGCCATTTTATAAAAATCAGCAACGAGATGCTTAACTTTCCTGGCAACATTTGGTGGTGCCATCTGTTATGATATTTTATTTTTAAAAAATTTTTATATTTTTGACTATTATAAGATGGCAAAAACGTTTAATTTTGAACTTAGGAATGGGTTTTATAAAAAACTGTAAATGATAATAATGAATAAAATTGTTATTAAGTCTGATCCTACTGGAGATACACCCCACCCTTCCCACTCTCTTGATCTTTAATCACCAAAATTTAATAGCATCAATCCCCTAATAAATAAACTTCCCTACAAAATTTCAGAAATTTTTGACAAAAAGCACAGGAGTTATTAAGTTTCAAAGATGAACAAAATCATGCTCCACACATACAGAAAATCCCCAAATGTTTTTGCATTTCTTGATGTTTAAAGGTCTCTTGAGTCTAAAAATTAAAAATCCAGTCATTTTTTGACCAATTGCCATACTTTCCCTATGTTAAATATAACAGCTGGAAAAGTAATAATTAATAATGCAAAAAGATATAACAAAATTTATAACAGATGATGCCATACACAATTTGATTTATTATAATTAATAATATAAGATAATTAATTAGAAGACAGTCTATCCAGAAATGGGAACTGGGAATTTATTATTTCTGAAAATACATAAATTGTAATTCAAGTATAGTAGAGCATCGATTATCTGAATATCGATCAACTGAAATGTCAATTAACTGAAAGCTTTCTAGTTGGCAAATTTAAATTTTTGCTGGTTCACTGCAATCTTTGGCTATGTCTTGGGCTACTCCAATATTATTTTTGTTGGTGTGCATGTTTTAGCTGGAAGCACTGGTGCGACCATGAGAAGGTACTTAAGGACGTGCCAGGATTTGTACGAATTTCAACATGNAAAAAATGCTTTTAACTATTTTCAGGAACAGACAAAATGCTGGGACCTCTTTCGATACTACTTCCGCAGACTTTCGGCGTTTTTCTGTTGCCTGAAGTCAAAAAACTAATATTATTGACAACGGAAGTGGATTATTTTCTTAGAATAGTTTAGTTCTTAACTATTTATTATTTTTTGCATCAAAAAATGTTTACTTATAAGTTATTTATTTTTTATTCTTATATTTATGGTAACTGTTAAATATTTATCTTTGCTTTACTGAGATGTTTCCTAGCATTTGTATTTTAAGAAATGTGAATTTTATTCCTGTTTAAATGAAATGTTTTGAAATGTGAATTTTATTCCTGAATTATCTTTTTTGCTATTTAATTTTTTCCTCTTATTTATTTTTTATTCTTACATTTATGGTAACTGTTAAATATTTATCTTTGCTTTACTGAGATGTTTCCTAGCATTTGTATTTTAAACAATTTATATTTTATAACCTGAAAATTATTACTTAAGATGACTGAAAACATTTGTTTCCTTATAAATAATTACTGCTGGATTATAAAGGTTTTTATTTTTAATTATTGACATTGTTAAATCCAATTTGTTTGGTTTTTGTTTATATTGCATTTAAATTTTTTTCAAAATGATAACTTTTTCATAATATTAAAATAATACATTTACAGTAATATACTTGCATAACTCTAGCATTACATAAATGTATTGGTAGAACACAGGATTTCACTGAATTTAACTTGAATGTCACTGTTCTAATCTATAAAGAATTAATAAATACCTGTATAAAAAATAAAATGTTGCAAATTTGTTGATCTCTTAATTTTTGTTAAGATTATTATATGATCTATTTTTTGTTATATTTTATGTAACAGTACTTTTGCATACTTAATAGAAAAACTAGTTTAAATGTAAACAGAAATTTATGATAACTTTTTCTATATTGCAGTTCTACAAGATAATTGTTGTACAAGAAAATATTAAAGTAAATAAATATCTCAAAAATATTTTAAAAAATTCTAAGAATTAATAATAATTGAAGTTATTCCAATTAGTAAAAACATTTTATTTATAACAAGCACATTCAAATTATATGATAAAATAAACTGCTAGATTTGAATATTTTATCTAATCATGAAATGTAAATAAAAACATTTCATATATATCATTATGCATTACATCATAAAGCAAAGTCTGTAGATGCTTATCCCTATTATAAATTGGCATTTTTACAAACAAAACTAACTGTTTTGAGTAAAAATAGTAATATTGGATGCTATAAAAAGTAAATTGAAGTTTTATGTAATTATAATATTTTTTGCTGAATTTTTACTTTTATCAACATTAGATTAAATAATTAAATGAAAATAATATGAAGGTAACATGATATACAAACAGTTTTTTTCATAATTTTGAGGTAACTAGTTGTTACAAAAGTAAATATTCAATGTTAATTACTTTCTTTGCAAGATAAGAAACTTTAAAAAAGCACAAAAGTTCTGATAATTGGTCTGAATAGTTTAATATTATTAATAAAGCTGATGAAAGAGAATTTATAGGATGATGCCATCTGATAAAGAATTTAACAATTAGATAAATTATATTTATAAATTTTGGAAAAAAATTGTTTAGAGAAGAGCTCAAACCTGCAACTCTCTTCTTTAAGAGATGCATTGTTATTCATATCAAGTTAAACTTTTTCTAGACTACAGAATCCAAATATTTTTGAAGAATATAATTCGTATAGTATAATTGATAATATATGATATGCAGGGGATGTTTGAATCCTATTTTGAAGTGTTCTGTTTTGGATTTTCTAAATTAATAATTACATAATTTTGGATTATGATACTGATAGTTTATTCACATGATTAGTAAATAGATCTATAAGAACAATACCTTGACTTTCACCCCCCCTCTGCATTATGTATGATGGTGTACTTTTTGCAACTGCTTCTCTTCCTTAAACTCTATATGTAATTAATGGATAGCTCCTAAGATAGGTCAAATTGTACTCTCAGTTAATAAAATAAATGTTGCAATCACTTAAAACTGTACAATGCTACTTTGAACAACAAATATATTAATGCATTTAATATAATGCTAAGTGAAAATTAAAGCATTCTAATTCGTAATTATCTGTTTTATAAACATAGGAACATTGAATTATTAAAATTTGAATTATAATTGTTAAATTTTCTTGTTACAGATAATATTAGGACTTCCTTTTTTGTTAACTAATCCATTTGGATATATATTAGGAGCATTCAATTTAGGAAGAGTGTTTTTATATGAATGGACTGTAAATTGGAGGTTTTTACCTGAAAACATTTTTCTTAATAAATATTTTCATATATCATTATTACTGATGCACATAATAGTAGTTATACTATTCTGTTATAAATGGATTAAGTAAGTATTGTGCTTGTTAGTTTTTTTTTATTAATATAATAGATGTTTTTTTATTATAAATTTAAATACAAGCTTCAGATTTGTAATTTCAGATATAATGACATTAATTTGTGGTCTAAAACGAAAAATGAAACTGCACTATCAGTAGATCGTATCCTTATAAATATATTTTAAATCTGTTTTTATCTTGTTGTACAGAACTACTGTTACTACAATATTAATACAGGGTGTCCACCATGAACATGACACATTTGAAAGTGTTGTAAAAATATCTACTGCTCAGGAAGGATGTAGAGTAATGCATCAGTATGAGTAATGATGTAGAGTAATGCATCAGGAAGGATGCATCAGATGAGAGTAAGATGAGAGGATGCATCAGATGAGAGTAGAGATGTAGAGTAATGCATCAGGAAGGATGTAGAGTAATGCATCAGAGTAATGCATTTTATGATGAAAAACTCAAAAAGTTTTATTAAGAAAATCAGTGAACCTCTACATGAGCTCCTTTTGTTGCACGTAGAACATCGAGTCTATACTCCATTTCCTGCCAGGTTCTTTCGAGCATCTCGGGCATGAGGGCAGCAACAGCATCGTGAATGTGCACACAAAGATGTTGAAGGTCATGAATTTTGACACTGGTGTAAACCTTGTTCTTGACAAATCCCCAAAAGAAAAAGTCTAAGTCCAATTCAACAATTGGGAAACTGTGCCCGGATTGCCACCGCCGTGTGATATTAACACGGTTCCCTTCACCAAGAAGTATTGTTTTCATAACTTGAGAGTGTTCTTCGAGGGTGGCACCTTGCCAAACGTGATGAAAGTTCTGTTGCGCTTAAATCATGGAATTTGTTTCAGCATACCACCACACAGCTTGTGCCCACTCTTGTGGAGAAGCCATTTTGTGTTTGATTACTACCACACCACCTACAGTCACTTTGGTGGATTTTCAAAATTACCTATACAACTTCCACAGTTTCTCCACCTAATGGAATGCACAACATCTGATTACTGCCTTGCACTTTGATATGGCAGTCAAAACAAATGTGTTAGGTTCATGGTGGACACCCTATATTATTAGAATTAGAAAGTTTTTATGAATAGTATAGAATTCAAAGGATCTTACTTGATTTTTTAAAAATCTATACATTTAATCATTTGATAATTTTTAATTGATATTAGATAATTAAATATAAAAATCAATTGTTTCCATTTTTCAGTTTTTAAGAGTAGATGTATTTGATTAGGAAATAAGAATATGTACTATAAATAGCTTAATTTTGTGAGAGAAACCTTACCAAAAATATGTGTACTGTTATTTCTTATAAAAATGTCTTTTTAACAAAAAAATTTCTATAGAAAAGTAATTAAAACAATATATTTTTTAACCGTAATTGTACTATTCATTAGTACACGGAAAACTGCTAGTTTTCCATTCGTTTCTGACTTTTGGAGGCTTAATAAGTCCCGAGTCCGTAGACTGGTATAAAAAATTTAAAAAAGGTAAACAGGTTAACAAGGAAAATATACTTTTATTTTTATATAAATATATACTTCACCCCAAATGCATTTCGCCTGTCAAGGCCTCTTCAGTAGGGTTTCTGACGACTAGAGTGTACAATAGGAACAGCAGAAGGTATCTCAGACGACACATTTTTTTCCGTCGTAGACACAGAAGAAGACACATCTTTCTCACTGATACCATCGCGTTTACAATCTTTAAGAAACACAAACTCTTCCCAGCATTCCGCTGGTATCACCCCATTATTCAAATTCATTACATTACTTTGCATAATTATCGCGAAATGTTCTTTAAATTTTCTTTTTACAATATTTTTCTCTTTATGTATTATTTTTACATTATTAATATCTAATTGACAGTT